GTGTGTGTGTGTGTACATGTACCTTGTTGAGGTCTGCGTGTGTGTGTGTACATGTACGTTGTTGAGGTCTGCGTGTGAGTGTGTGCGCGCACGTACGTTGTTGAGGTCTGCGTGTGAGTGTGTGTGTACACATACGTTGTTGAGGTCTGCGTGTGAGTGTGTGTGTACACGTACACTGTTGAGGTCTGTGTATGAGTATTATATGTACACGTACATTGTTGAGGTCTGTGTGTGTGTACACGTACGTTGTTGAGGTCTGCGTGTGAGTGTGTGTGTACACGTATGTTGCTGAGGTCTGTGTCTGTGTGTGTGTGTACACGTACATTGTTGAGGTCTGTGTATGAGTATTATATGTACACGTACATTGTTGAGGTCCTGCTCCCACATTCTTAATCCTGTTTTTCTCATCTTAAGTTTTCTTGTGCCTTTAGAAACTTTTGGCAGGTGTGACTGTGGATGCTTGTGTAGTAGTATTATGCTACTAGTTTAACTTATTATCATTTTAGTGAAATTTAACTTCTATTTCTTCTTATAGCTGGACCTCCATATACTTTGTATTTCGGTATTAAATTCTATGCTGAGGATCCATGTAAACTTAAAGAAGAAATAACCAGGTATGACACGGACTTTGTTTTTGAATAGATACATGCATGGAATATATAAAAGGTTTTATTTAAAGTTGAGGTCAGACATGTGGATGTGTCTACCTGCATTTCGTAATGTGTCTCTGTGTGGGTTCAAGAACAGCCAGCTTTGCACCGGCTGGTCAGTGTCTGCCGAGAGATGTGTTTGAAAAAGGGCATGAGCCTTGCTGAAATGATGATAGATTCTGCATCTGCTGCGATGGGGTATTTCTGTATCTTCATTGCTAAGCGTGCCCTCGGCCCTTGTATTCCTATAAAAGTAGCCATTTGAGCTGCCTAAAGGGAGGATCTTTTGATGCTCGGTTTGTATATGTATAAAACATACACTTGAAGAGCTAGTTATTTCTCTTTAATTGGTTGGAGCTTAAATCTCAGCTGTCCAGGTGTTCCATTTATCTGTATAGTAACGAAAAGATACTTGCTTTTAAGAAAGGACAGAAAAGACCAATATTTGAATATATTACTTTACCTTTGTCATCAAATATTTGTTCTTAGTTGTGGCAGAATTTCCAGTTGGTATTGATTTGCTGTCAAATTAATCCTTGTCAACCTTTGAAAGCGGCTTTTAAAGAGCAGGCAGTAGGAGATGTTTCAACTTACACCACTAGTGACCAGTCTGTGCGTGATCACAAAAACAAAACCATTTTCTCTCCCCTAACTCTTCAGTGGTGGGTTTTCTCACTAAGCCCTTATTATAGGCTCAATACAATCGAATACATTACCCCCCAAATTGAAAATCGTGTCTCGGTAACTCAGTGTGTGTTTTGTTTCTAGTCTATCCCTCCGTATTTCTTCCCAGACGTTCCTTTGTCTTTGTTCTGGAATGCGCATGGAAGAGTGAGAAGGGGCAGACTGATTGGACACCCCCCACCCCCCACCCCCCGAAGTGGCATCTTTAGGCCTCATTTTTAGAACCGTGCAGGTGTCTGCATTCCTGTCTGCTGTTGTCACGTGGTCTGTGGCACTTTGAGAAGGGAGCGTTCTAGTTCAGACCTTCCCACAGCACACCTCTTTGGGAGGAGGGCCACTGGAGTGGGGAGCAGAGGCTGAATAGAGTTTCAGGAGGGAGCTGAATCCAAGTGGTGTAAAAATACATTTAAGTCTAGCACTCATTAGGGAATTACGTGGGGACAACATTTTATTAAAATGCAGTGATTCCTTCATTTCGAGATAGTAATTTCCCTGTGCCTCAGTTTCCTCAACTGTAAAATAGGAGATATGAGGTTTTTGTGATTCCATTAAATAGAATAATGTATATAAAGCTCCTATGAGTTGGACTCACAGTATGTGTCTGAGGAATGTTAATAGTTATGATCTCTTTCTGTCCTTTTTCTGATAGCGTAGAAGAATTGTATCTTAAATGGGGCTAGAATTCAAAAATACTTGCGTTTGTGTTAAGGAGGGGAAGATGAATGTTTTATGATGCGTCATTTTGCCTTTGTTCACCACATAGAAGCAGTGAACAGGAATTTCCCTACTGAATCTGCTAATGACTCATTAACAGAATACATGGATTTGGGTATAATGTCCAACCCTATAGTATTTCCAGTATAACCAGTTTTCCTGAAGAATTATACCAGCTCATGCAGTTGAGAACCGATGACATAGTTAACTTACAATCAGTGTCCAGGATGTATACTAATTTAATATTTTTTGCCTAAAACATCTGGCTGAATTTAGGTACATTAAATGTGCATTTAATGTGATAACATTCAGCAAGTATATGCTTGCTCATACCATATGTTATTAATATATGCTGAAGAGAAAGTCATTGATTTACATGAATATGTAAAACTTTATGGACCTAAAACGGAAATGATTTACACGGGACAATTTTGGCAAAAACAAAACCTGGAAACAGAAAGCAAAGTTCCCCAATACGTTCTATGAAAGGAAAAATATACTTAGGTCAGCATTTTCAAGTTGAGTATTTATCTTGATTCAGTTGTTTAGAAAACTATTCCAGTCTACTCTGTGTTGGCTATTAAGTTTTTGTCAATATGAAAGATAATGCTATCATGAACAAGCTTATATGTAATCTCCCATGTATGGAGTTTAATGTCTTCCTATTTCACGTGTATTGTATGAACCTCTTTTACCACCTACCCGTTCTTTTTGTTCCTACATAATATGTCATAATTTAGTTAATCATGTTTTTGTGGATGGCCACCTAGATTGTTTTCTTTTAATTACAGATTATGCTACAGGAAGTCTTCTACGTATATAGGGTCATATTAGAGGCAATATTCCAGAAGAACACATATTTAGGAAAAAAGACCAGTGGTGAATGGGCTACATAGGAAAATAAAGTTTCAGATTATGAAAAATGTAAGTCAGTAGAATCTTATCAACTTGGAGTCGCTGTTGTGTGGTCTAATAGGTTTTCTAAAATAAATGAAATTGGGGGGACTTTGAGGCCATGTAATTCTAAGCTTCATCCTTGTAGAACATTCCTGACACATCAGGCCGTTGCTTCTTAAAACTTTTAGGTAGGAAAACTTACTTGTCTTGAAAAGCAATAAGAAATTCAGTAAGAAATAAGAATTCCCAATACATCTCTCATCAGTGGTAGGTTCTCCTTCTGGTCTGTGCAGAGTAAGTCTAATCTCTTTTCTCTTCGTCACTACTTTAATTTGTGTGCTCTTGAGTTCTGTTATTTTTAGTACTAATTCAAAATATTATGACACCCTTCTGTCTGTTATGTGTCTGTCACAGCTCTGTACCCTTTGCAGATTTGCTGAGCGTGACGCATGTGCTAGTTAAGACGATGGGCTTTGGAGTCGTACATGCTGAGGACTGCATCCTTGCTGTGCCGCTCACTGGTTGTGTTATCCTGAGAAGGTCTCATAGCTTTTCTAAAGTCTGTTGTCTCATCTGTATAATGCAATTATAGTACTTTTTCAAAAAGATGACTGGATGGATTTTTAAGTTAATACATGCAAAGTACTTATAGTGCAAAAGTGTAAGTGTTCAATGATGCTAAAGATAGCTACAATGAAATGATGATTATTTCACGTTTTCAAGTCATTGTTTTAAAATTAGCAAAAGACCAACTTAGAGCCCTGAGATAGGTATTTCTTTATGTTTAAGTCCATTAATCAGAACTTTCTGGGGTAGGTGTTTAACTGCGAAGGATTCTGCTGCCGCTCTCTCCCCACATTCTTGAATTTCTCTGTCAAGGCAGAATTCACGCACCTCTTCCTCACTGAGTCACTGCCAGAACACTGTGTTCCAGTGTGCTGAGTAGGGGGGATTCAGTAGTGCCCAGGGTGGAGGTGGGGAGAGGTCTGGTTTCAGTCTGCCTGAAGAAAGAATCTATCAGTGTCCTTGCTAACAACCCCGCCTGTCATTCCATTGGCATTTCCCTGAACTTCTAAGGATCTTACTGCTCTTTCTAAATTATGCTCATCATCTCTGATCATCAGAGAAATGCAAATCAAAACTACCCTGAGATATCATCTATCACCTGTGAGAATGGCCCACATTACAAAGTCCCAAAGCTGCAGATGCTGGCGTGGATGTGGAGAGAAGGAAACACTTTTATACTGTTTGCTGGGATTGTAAACCAATACAGCCTCTTTGGAAAGAAGTACAGAGAATCCTCAAAGAGCTGAAAGTAGACCTTCCATTTGGTCCTGCAGTCCCATTACTAGATACCTACCCAGAAGTAAAAAAATCATTTCACCATAAGGATATTTGCACTAGCTTGTTCACTGCCCCTCAATTCACAATCTCTAAGATGTGAAATCAACCCAAGTACCCATCAACTCGAGTGGATAAACTGACTGGGGCGTATGTATAGCATGGAATACTATTCAGCCATCAAAAAGAGATTTTATGTGGAGTTGAAGAACAGTCTTCTTAGTAAAGGAGACTTCCATCACAAGAATGGAAAAACAAGTATCCAGTCTATTCAATACAATATGAAAGCAGTAGCTGAACCCACACGAGAGAAAAACCCACATGAGAGACAAACACAAATTCAAGTGTGGGAGGGGGAAGAGGGAATGGGGGGGGATTGGTGTGCTCTCATTTAATGGGCAGAATATAAGGGTGTCTGGTACAACCCCCTGGATGAAAGGCTCACCTACAACATGGACTTTGCCTAACAAACGCAAACAACATAACCTAATCTGAAAAAAAAATAGGGTTGAACTAAAAAAAATTAGTTCCTAATGACTCACTCTTAACAAGTATTTTTTAACTTCTAAAAATAGATGTTTGATTTTTTCAGTCTGTTTTTACAATATTTGGTAGCGTTTTGTTGGGGATTGGCGTTAAGCTCACCTGTTCTTCCTCCTTCTGTAACCCGTATAGTCCCTGGTGAAGATGAGCTTGGGTTAGCTCCCTCACCTCTGAGGGAGCTTCCCTTGTCACTGCTGCTCTCAGTGAGACAGTGCTCCTCGTCTACCTTGGAGTTGCGGTGAGGGTTGCATTCCGCCATGCATTCCTTTAATGCAAAAGGACTGTCTCAATGTAAGGTGTTGTCATTGCTATTTATTTCCGTATTTCTTTCACTGTTTTTAAACTTCAGATGAGAGATGCTCCTTGATCTCCTTTGTCACTTTCTCTTGAGATTTACTGGGTGCTGTCTACTATTTTTCTTCTAAGTCATACTTGCCATTTTTGCACGTGATTCAATATTATGGTATTTAAACATTTCCCTCTATCACTCACACCTAGTTTTGTCCAGACTGTTTAGGCTCCCAGTCTGTATGGGATCAAGGCGACAGGCTTGCTCTGTGCTACCTTCTGTGCGGGTAGTCACCCTCCTTCTAGATTCTTCTTTTCCATGTCTATCTAGCCCAGAAATCAAACCACTTCCTGTCCTCATGCCCTTCAGTTCTTACCAGGATCTCAGGTCATTAGGAGGTGCCCCTCTGGCTGCTCTGATGTGAGTGTCCGTGACTGTTTGGGCCCGGAAATCTCACGGGAGCCGTCTGTTTTCGGCTCCTAGAAGAGCAGTTGTCTCACCCCTATTTTCTATCTTCCTCACCCATTTTTTTTTGTCTCCAGTAATTGTTAAATTATTCATATACAAAACCTTGTACATCTTGGTGCTGATTCAGCTCTTTTCATGACCATGAGATAAACAGGAAGCCGTGTGGCCAGTGTCTCAAGCCCCCTGTGCTGTGTGGGGCCAGTGGTGGCGTCACGCGCGGTGTGGACGTCTGGAAGATGGAAAGCTTCTCCCCGAGACTTGCAGTCCTGGAAGGCAGTGCCCCACTCAGTGTGTTCATTTACTTAATGAAGACAGTAACCAGAAACTGCTCTGTGAAGCCTCTGTTTTCCACTACAGCGTGTTCTGGAAACTTCCTTTTTAAGTAGATCACTTTTAATCAGCATTTTTTTCCCAGTGGGGTCTGATAGTACAACCAGAGTAACAGTATAATTTATTGTTAACACTGTGAAACTTTGGAGAGTGTTGAGGAGAGTTATTAATAATTATGCCTGCATAATAGGCGTAAACTAGTACAGTTCTAGACAAACTGGGGTAGAGGTTCACCCTGGTGAAAACCAGAGGTAAACAAGGGCTGAGCATTCAATGATAGCTTTACTCAGAATGGCACAGAAGGAATGCCCAGAAACTCTAAATCTTTGTAAGTTAAATAAAATACTAAATTATACTCTCTGTCCCATAAAATAGACAGTTAATTTTAAATAGGCCTTGAGAGACTAAACAGTGTTTGTCATGATTTTACTTTATCATGCAGTTTTCTTATATGAATCGAATAAGATGCTTGTAGTAATAAAAATTAATCCAATTTTTAATTAAAAATAATTAGCTTTGATTTTTGATAGCTTTTTTTTTAAGGCAACAGTTTATAGGTCACTATATCTCCATTAAAAGGCAAGCTTCCTGGTAAAGTTTGAATATTGCCCTTTTTATCCTTTTTCTTCATTAATTTCTCAGAGACAGAAAAGACAGTTCAGTTTTTGACTTCCACCTGTCTGCTGTCTGTCCGTCTGTCTGTCCGAGTGTCCATCTACCAGGTCACCGTGGGATACGGTTCCTGCCTTGTTGCATCTGCCCGTATCCCTGTGCCAGCTCTGCCTTTGATTTTCTATCTCCTTCTATTTCTCTTTCTTTTTGTCTTTGAAGCCAATAGCTGCTTCTGTATTTGGCAAAGGATTTGAGCGTCGAGTCAGATGCTATGAAAATCTTTTTTTTTTTTTTTTTGAGACAGAGCCTCAAGCTGTCCCCCTAGGTAGAGTGCCGTGACATTACAGCTCACAGCAACCTCCAACTCCTGGGCTCAAGCGAGTCTCCTGCCTCCGCCTCCCAAGTAGCTGGGACCACAGGCGCCCGCCACAACGCCCGGCTATTTTTTGGTTGCAGCCGTCATTGTTGTTTGGCGGGTCCGGCTGGGGATTCGAACCTGCCACCTTAGGTGTATGTGGCTGGCGCCTCAGCCGGTTGAGCCACAGGCGCCGAGCCTGAAAATCTTAATAGAGGAAGAGAAATCGGCATCTGTGACCCATTTCTTAAAAAAAGAAAAAATATACTTAAGGTGTTGGGTGATGTTCTTTCTCGCGGGGAGAGAAGGAAGGCTTGGCCGCGGGTGCAAGCTCGCTCCTAGAATTGTTTAAAAGCAAGAAACGACTATACACTCTTAGGTGGCATGTAGCAAAATGTCTTTATTTTTCACTCCCTTTTATTGGGAGTTAGTCACGTACACCGCATTGATCAATAATCCTAACATAGCCATCATAAGATTAGCCTAAAGAAAGAAAGTCCAGGAAAGTAAGACAACCATCTTAAGCTAGCCTCAGGCTATTCCTCTTGGAAGACCTAAAAGAACAATACATTATCTGACTTCTACTGTTAAAGGTTAGGATAAACAGAGGAGTAAAACCTTTCTCTTCTATGTACTCAATTAAATTTCCGAGAAACTGGCTTCCTGACTGTTTTCTTATGGCTTTGGAGACCCTGCAGTTACGATGGAGTATTTTACTCACATCATTACGATGGAGTTTTTCTTTTTACTCACATCAGCCTTTGAGTCATGTCCTCTGCACAGATGGGCCGTTTCAACCCTTATCTGACAGGCTGACTTGCTGTAGGAGGTTTTTACGCCTGGCCTGCAGGCCCCCACCTTGTTTTCCCAGGTCGCTTAGGGCTTCGACAAAAGCATATAATACTCATAAGTCTTTCGCTCAGTTCTAGAATTAAAAGAGCACATTTCATTTAATTTTTGTGGGGGTTTACCCCACATTAAGGAAAAGAAATTTGAAGATGCCAATAGAGAAAGGGTGTGTAGTAAAATCCAGCTTTCCAGCCAGCAGTGGTAATTCTACGCACATCTCTGTAGTTTATAAGCTTTTGCTTCACTTTGCCTTTCTCCTCTCCACGAAGAGCACAGTCGTTATAAAGTGGATTTTTATCCCAGGTGAGCACTCAGGGGATGAAACGCAGCAGAGTGGATTGGAGAAGAGCGTGCACCTTAGGGTTGGGGTGCTTACAGGTGAACAGTGAGAGATTTGGCCCAAGACATAAGCAGAAGTCTTATCAGCTTGAACTTTATCCTGTAGCCAAGGGGAAGTCTTTTAAGAGATTTTTTCAAAGGTGTGACATGATCCTATTTATCTCAAGAATTCTGCTTACATGTTGGGAGGAGTGGAGGAGAGGTGAGTATGCATGGCGGCAGACCATTGCAGAGGCAGTTACAGAAATCCAGGAGATGGTGACCTGGTCTAGGCAGTGGAGACCAGGGTATGGATGCCACAGCCTATTTGGTGACTGAAAGTGGGAGCTAGCGGTGGGTACACGTTGCTCCCAGGTTTCTTTTTCTTGGGCATCTGAAGTTGGTGGTGCCATTTACTGACACGGGCAGTGAGGACACGTGGGGTGTTGAGCAGGTTTTCCCTGCAGCCTGTGGTTGCAATCGGAGTTGATATCAGTCGTCTAGCAGTAATCAGGGTGGCATCTAACATTCAGAGTCCCTCACTAAGAGCTTTGTCGTGAGCACTGGGTGAGGGGATATTTATCACAGCTGACTTGTATAGTTCATTTTCTTTTTCTCTGCCGCTTCCTATCACAGTGAGAGTCATTTTGCAAGGAGAGAGATCACATAAGAACAGCCTGAAGCGTGTGAGAGTGTGTGCAAGTGTGTGTAAGTGGTGGCAGCCCAGGAGGGTCCTGATGGTTTACAAGCCTGTTCCCCGCTCAGCCCACTGGCAGAGAGGCTGAATAAGGGGACAGAAGACAGCTAGCCAAGGTTACCGACATCCTGATAGACCGAGAGCATTCTAGGATCACGTGGCTTGGGCTCCAGCCCTCGCCCTTCTGCTTATTTAGTCGTGCGATGCCTGGCAAGTTACTTCATCTGCGCCTATCAGCTTTCTCATCTGCAGGATGGAGAAAATACTAATACTGATTTCATTTTAAAATTCTTACCTAAGTTGTTATAGGTAAAATACACACACAATTTGGAACAATGGGTGGCTCTGTGGCTGTAACAGAATTTTTTTTGGCAGCATCAAAGCTGCAGAAAGTCGGCAGGGTGTTAGTCAGTGGGAGGACTGAGGGAGTCATGCTGTAGTGACCTTTTTGTCTTGCATGTGGAATTTTAGACCCTACAGAGAACACATGTAGCAGAGGTGGGGTCCTTGTGATTGTCCCCCTCAGCAGGAGCGCACTGCAGTGGCAGGGGCGGGAATGGCAGGAACAACTTTTTATGTTCAGCCTTTACATCAGCCCTGTGGGGTGTGGCTGTTAGCTGTTGGAGTCAGGCCACAGAGGTAGGGGCAGCAGGGCTGAGAGGCAGAGCAGGCCACGTCCTGGATAGTCCCTGTTCACTGCACAGCCCCCTCGCACAGGGGTGGAGAATGGCTTTGTTTTAATTGAAGGCGAGTGGTCACTTGTTAGCTTTGATGATGAGGGTCTGAAAGGTCAGATCTGAGTACTGTAAGAGATCGTTAATCCTTCTTTTCCATTTCTCTTGTAGATACCAGTTTTTCTTGCAGGTGAAGCAAGATGTGCTTCAGGGCCGGCTGCCCTGCTCAGCCAACGTCGCTGCTCAGCTGGGAGCGTACGCCACCCAGTGTAGGTTCCGCTTACGCTCAACTTTGGAAAAGTCTGGAGGAAATATTTGCATTTTTCTTTGTAAGAAAGTTTGTATGCGAAAACACTTAACCAAATGACATTTTACTAAAAAAATTTAAATTTTGTTAGAATCCACATTCTGAACTATGTCCCTTGGGAACAGGTGAAAATGGAGTCCTTTTTACAACCCCCCCCACCCAGTATGTTCTGTGGGGTTTTAGTGTCGGGAATAGCACTGATTCTCGACTAAGTGAAGGGCCTAATCATGTGTTCTAGGCTACATCTCACCTTCCCACCTGAGTTCATTGCTTGCCCAAGCTGCTATGTCTTGGAAATCTCACTGCTTCTGGACAGCTGTGGTGAAGACTCCAGGCAGCCGGGTGCCAATGCAGCTCAGAGCATGCGTGGAGTTCTGTAGAGCTCAGGACATTAGCTCTCAGCATCATGGTGGTGCCCCCTTTTTGCAGACTAAGGCTGAGACTGTTTTCTCTAATAACTGTTGGGCACCTTCTAAGAATCGAGTTAGGAGTGGGGAGAATGAGACAGGTGTTACTTGCAGATGGGAAATAATCTAGATGAACTATCCAAGGGAAAAATGTCACATAGATGAGCTGGGTTGGGGCTTGCAAGGTAGATTAACATTGGAAGGAGCGTTTTTCTAAGAGTAACATAGTGCGCTCTCTGGCTTCATTTTGCTGCTTTTGTGTAAACCGTAATGGGGTGTGTGTGCAGCATTCTGCATTTCCCTGACTATTATCTGGGGCAAAGCCATGTTTTGAATCACACGCTCCATGTCTTGGTCATTGTCTGAGAGGATATATTGGTGCCATGGCTGTTTGTCACCTCCGCATGCCTCGTAATTTGTACTCTAAATTCTGCTTACAACATTTTACATTCTATAAACTGGTAACAGTAATGGAAATGAAAATGATCATTATAGTCTTCAGGAAAGTAAAAAATATAGAACTTGTGATTTTAAGTCAGGATTTTGTTGATATCCTTCTTATATGCTCATCTGAGTGGTGAAATTATTGAGTTATATATGAAATTTTAATATGTCATTTGAAGAAAAATGTTTGTGCATAATAGGAATATTTAAATTCTTATATTTTAAGGGATAGTTTTCCAAATAGAAAGGCATAAAAGTTTCTTTCTTTTTTTAGCTGAGCTTGGAGATTATGACCCATATAAGCATACTGCGGGGTATGTATCAGAGTATCGGTTTGTTCCTGATCAGAAGGAAGAACTTGAAGAAGCCGTAGAAAGGATCCACAAAACTCTGATGTAAGAATCATGTCCTGTGTTGCATCTGTCACTTGTCATCCTGTGTGCAGGCAGGTGTAAGAATAGTTTCTTGAATGATAAATTCTTCATCTGGGCCTTGAACATTCCAGTATTCTTTTTTTGATTCAGAGTCTTACTCTGTTGCCCTGGGTAGAGTGCCGTGGTATCACAGCTCACAGCAACCTCCAGCTCTTGGGCTTAGGTGATTCTCTTGCTTCAGCCTCCTGAGTAGCTAGGACCAGAGGCACCCACCACAATGCCCGGCTATTTTTTTTGTTGCAGTTTGACCGGGGCTGGGTTTGAACCCGCCACCCTCCGTATATTGGGCCGGTGCCTTACCCACTGAGCCACAGGCGTTGCCCATTTTTAGTGGCATTTAGTTTTTTAAATTCTGCTTTCAATACTAAAATGCTCGTGGAAAACTCCAACAATTTCAAAAGTACAAAAGAAAATAGAACCTTAAGTCACCATATTTTTTGTAAACATCCTTTCCCACTTTTCTGTGCATAATTTCTCATAGAGAAAACTTACCTAATATAGATTTATTATGTATGTACATATTATTTTACACAAGTGGAATCATTGTTTTAATGCTGCACTTTAACAAGGTTTTTCGGTCACCACTATGGTATGAAATTTATTTCTACAGCTGTAAATACAATTTACAAGCACAAACATTTTTAATGTATTCTGGGTTTTCTCTGTCTTAAGTATGCATAATTTTCAGTTACAAGCAAAGTCCTATTCAGGCTATAGCAGTGATTCTGGAAATCATGGTGACACCAGTGTGGGGCCTCGGAGGGTATTATGTTAACATCACGTGTGCTTTGGAGAGTAGACACATTCCCCTAGCAGGATTTTCTATTAATGGCTTGCAGCATTGAAGTTATAATTTAATTATGGTTATTTTGGTTAAATCCTTTATACTGATTAACTTTGCTTTATTGCCTCTTATGTAACATTCCCTCTTGAATATGCTGGGCTTCAGATCTATTATAGTTAAGAAAAAAATGTAGCATTAATCTGGTCAACAAAATATGTTTGCCTAAAGGATCTGTTTCAGTGATTAGAAGCAGAAGTCGCCTGCTGAATTGGAATAGGAGAAAGGCTCTCCATCTCGCAATAATGTGCACTCGGCTGGGCTGCTCTCCAGCCTGACTGCAGAGTCCTTCATTTAAGACTTCGTTGAAGTGGATGCTAAGAGGGCGCTTGTTATAATGTTAGGAAGGACAGTGTGGTCAGCACATTCTGAGAATACTAATTTCACTAGGTGTTTGAAAGTAAAATCAAGGAGCTTTGGGTAAAGGCCCTCATATGTTTTGTGTAATGGTGGTGACATCTTATATTTAATTTGATGAACATTCTTCGTGGCTTGCAGAAATGTGGTACATTGCTGGGTCTTCCAGTGTGTCGAAGCTGAAATAAGGGACTGCATCAAAGCAGGGTTTCTTAGTTTCCCCCACTTAACTCATCCATGGAGGTTCTAGCAGATGCCCAGAACCAACATCCATGGAGGTTCTAGCAGATGCCCATGCGTGCTAGGAATGGAGGCTATTTTCTGTACATTATCACCGGTGAAGATGGTGAGACAGTTTTTATACTCAAGGAGAAGGACAATCATTTTTCACAGTTTCCTTGTTAGCTGATGTTAGTTTCATAGTACATGTGCTTAGGAGATGTTGAATGACCCCACCTGGGTGGTGGGGGCCCCGTTCTCTCCACCTCCCGACCGCTGCTGTAGCTCCTTTTGCTTCTGGTGGAGAGCTGATGGTGCCCAGCAGCATGGTGCTCTTTGAGAAGGGGATGCTTTTTCATTGGAGTGCTTATATTCTCAGTAACTGCTTTGGGGGTTTCTGAAACTCGGAATGTTTAATACGTGCTGGGACGCTGGGGTTAGGCTATAACGAGCAAGAATAGATTTGGCAAATGAAAACTTACTATAAGTTAGCACCTCAGACTATAAAATTTTGTCACTGAGAAGGTCTCCTTGAAATACAGAGACGTATGTTTGCATGAGTACAAAGGATTATTTATTTTTCTAGGGGATATAATGAAGATGGTTTACATTCCCGGAGAGTGCAGTCGCTACAGTAAGATAAGGCTCTTTGTTTTTGTGCCGGGTACAGGGGTCAGGCTCCTTCTGAGGCTGAGCTGAATTACTTGAGGACTGCCAAATCCCTGGAGATGTATGGTGTAGACCTCCATCCCGTCTATGTGAGTAACATTTAATTAACGTAAAATACTTTAAGCTGATGACATTTTTCTTATAAAGTCACTGAGACTCCGAAAAGGAAGCTGCAGTCCTTTTGTTTAGCAAGCAGATGATATTTTTTTCATTGTGTGTTTTTCTAACACGGAGCAGCCCTTGCATGGATTAAACCCTAATGAGTTTTGCATAAAAATCTGTGATTCTATTGCCATGTGTAGAAAACAATTAACTGGGCTTGAAAAAACAATCTGGATAACAGTTCTAAAGGGCTTAGCTAAATAATGTCAAAACAATTTAAAATTGGTCCATAATTGATTGTATTAGACAAACAGGAGAATTTTCCAAAAATGGATTTTATGGCTATAAATCGTAAGTGAAATGACTTGCTGGGTAAAGAAGACATTAGGCCTTAGGCCAGGTCTGCATATTTCTGGTTCCTTATTGGATGTGCAGTTTCTGTTGGTATGAAGGTTAGCACCTGCTAAAAGTATCACTGCCTTACTAGAATTTTTTTTTTCCCAGAATTTTTTCCCCAGTGGTTTATTTAAACTTGCTGGATATAGTCAGTGAGCAATTACATTGACTCTGCATTGAGTGTTCTGGATCCAGGTCTTAACCTTTGAGCCACTTCTCTTAGGGTATCAGTTGATCATTCTATACCAGTAAGATCGAAATGCCATTGCCTTTGGTTTTTTTTTTTGCAGTTTTTGGCTGGGTCTGGGTTTGAACCCACCACCTCTGGCATATGGGACTGGTGCCACAGGTGCCGCCCTGCCTTTGGTTTTTGTGAGAGTTGTGGTTAGCAATAAGCAAATTTGATTATGTGAGCCAGGTGCCTTATTCTGTATAGGTAATGAATTGCTGACAAGTGTATTTCTAGACTGAATTTTTGTCAGTTGGACCAAGAGACTCATTTTTTAAGGAGCCCTGATACAACTTTGTGCAATGCAAATAACACTCATGCATTCTTTTTTCTGACATGTCTTTTGGTGCTCATCAGGGTTTCCTAAAAGAACAAACCATCTCATATTATTTTTAAAGAGTTAGAAGCATCCCTGGGTATACAGTCCCTATGGCAATGAAAGATAAAGATTTTAGGAAAGTGTTATAGTATTTCACTGCTATTAGAACCAAACCTTATTTGATTATTAAATGCTTCATAGTACTGTCCTTTAAGAATACCTCTAAAACTTTGCAGAACCAGCCTTTTCCCTCTAGCCACATTAATCTTGTTAGGTTATCAGATTTTTAAGAAATGAAATTCTATAGGAAATTTACAAAGGGAATTTTCTACAAAATGCTTCTACTTTGTCCAATGTTTATCCTAATTTGTAATCACCCTTTTGTTGGTGGTAGGAATTTATGGCAAATGAACTAGATTTATTAGAATCTTCCATATATTCCTTTAAGACCGAAGTTTTAGAACTGAAAGTGGGCCACAGCTGGTATTTTTCTAAAACATGTTGTCTTATATTCTTTATGAACATAACTTTTCAGGCTATTCTTTAACTTTGAGTAGATGTAAATTTAACACAGTTCTGTGCATGTCCTTAGTACCGACTCTATTTGTGACTTTTTCATTTTAGGATCCCATGTTCTTAATTGGGATATATCATTGCCTAGAAATAAAGGTCTCTAGTCTTTACCACAAGAGATTGGATTTTTAAATTTGGGGGCAGTCTTAAAGTTAAATGTGGAAGTAGGAGGGAACGCTTGGGAGACCTTAGAAAGCTCAAGTGCGTGTCTGCTGGTGGCTGCCTGAATTTTCTGGAGAGGGTAGTGATGGTGGTGAAGAGTGTAATCTCAAGATGAGCCATTTAAAAGCACCCTTGACAGCAGCCTGAAGTGGTTCTCAGTCCTCGAGTACACAGGAGAGTCACCTGGAACTTTTATGCGTTTCTTGCTACTTTGGCCCCCTGCCCTGAAGATTTTGGTTTAAGTGGTTTGGGTAGTACCCGGGCATCAGCATTTAAGCTGCACTGGTGGTTCCAGTTAATGTGCGGCTAAGGTTGAACACCACTCTGGGAGGGACAGGGGGCAAGTCTGTCGGTGGCCTCAATGGTGGTCTAGCTGCCTTGTAATGAACTGAAGTTACCAGTATGGATTGATACTAAGAAAAGTTTTCTTAAGAGCTTTGAAAAGCGTGAGCAGCAGGTTAGCTGTTATAATGGCTTAGCTCACTTTCTAGGTCAATATCTTTCAAAAATTAAACCTATTCTAGTGCAACACATTACGTTTGCATAGCCAGTTATGGTTCAATAAAAAACTTTCATGTGAATAAATTCATCCTTATAGGCATGTGTTTGTTTTTGCAGGGAGAGAACAAGTCTGAGTATTTCTTAGGATTAACTCCGGTTGGCGTCGTTGTCTACAAGAATAAAAAGCAAGTGGGGAAGTATTTCTGGTAGGTATCGCTGGAGAGCAGGGCCGGTATTAAGGATGTGTGGGCTCATGAGACTTGTGTGTCAGTGAGAGTTAGGGGAGAGAAAACAGGTGGTATTTCCCGTGGTTGGTTTTTTTAAAAAAGTGACATTAGGTGTAAATTTTCTCCCAGGGAGGCAGGGTGCAGTGGCTCATGCCTATAATCCTAGTACTCTGGGAGGCTGAGTCAGGAGAATTGCTTGAACTCAGGAGTTCGAGACTAGTCTGAGCAAGAGTGAGACCCTGTCTCTAAAAATAGGCAGGTGTTGTGGTGGGTGCCTGTAGTCTCAGCTACTTGGAAGGCTGAGGCAAGAGGATCAGTTGAGCCTAAGAGTTTGAGGTTTCTGTGAGCTGTAATGCCACAGCACTCTATTGAGGGTGACAAAGTGAGACTTGGTCTCCCCCCCCCAATTTTTTTTTCTCCTAGGCCACCCTAGTATATATTTTCTCTGTAAAATTTCGACACTGTGATTCTGGACTCTCCTGTACAAGGAAGCTGTGTTCTGTGGATTTCCCATCCATTCTTGAGTGTGCCCCTGGGCTGTGAATCTAAGACTGTTAGCTCTGCAGGGGGAAGGACGGAGAGGCTGGGGAGCCTGTGGGCCTGCCGTGTCTAGGGAGGCAGCGCTGCCATGGCCAGGGATTCTAGCTTGTCTGTGCAGGTAGCAGAGAAACAGGACGATGGGAATGGAGGTTTCCTTAGGGTGATCATAGCAAAGGACATTCTGGGGGCTCTCTACGGTCACACAGCAATACGTAAAGAAGCCAGCATTCACCCATCTTTTCCACTGCTTACGTCTCTGAATTTCTGAAAGATTAATGCTTAAAACCAGCAGCCCCACCACCACCTTCTGCTTTCTTTTTCAGGCCTCGGATTACAAAGGTTCACTTCAAGGAGACTCAGTTTGAACTCAGAGTGCTGGGAAAAGATGTAAGTTTTTGTGAGCTCTTATCTGAAACGGGTAGGAGGGTAGTGTGTGCTCATTTATAACTTGACATTGTGAAATAAAACTACCGTGTTTTCTTCAGCGGCAGCCACATGGAACCAGATTAATTAACTCATGTGTAACTTTTCAAGGAAAGGAAAGGGAAATGAGTAGAAATGAATAAGATGGTGAAGGACAAGTATTGTTTTAGTTTTTAGCAAAGGAAAACAAACCCTGTCTAGGGCAGCCGAGAGCATGGGAGGTGATTATCTTTATCGCTGTAATTGCTTTTCAGTACTGTCTGAAGGGAGGGGGTCATATAATCAGAGGGGATGCCCTGCATTTGGAACTGCAAAAACATGTCCTCATTTTGTTCTAAAATAAATTAAACAGCCTGTTAGGAGTCACTCTTCTGCTTGTTCCCTAGTTGAGCATGATAGACAAACCAGATGGAAATTCTGGACGCTGTCAAGGGAGAATGCGGGACAAGAATGCGAAGATGCTGACCTTCCCTGCTCAGCTGGGCAGTGTCCCCTGGGAGTGTGGGGAGTGGGCACAGTATTAGAGCCTGATGTGCTTTCAGGCCTTGGCAGGGAGCTTTGAGGAGTCCGGTCCAAAGAAGGCAAGGGTGCTCCAGCTGGCTTTTGATCTACCTGTGAAAATAATGCTCCTTGAAGTGCTGTTACTGTAATCCATATGTTATGGCGTAAATGAGTAAGAATGTGAAGCGTAATCCGTATTTATAGGATACATGAGTGGAAATAGGTAGGAGAATCCACCCTTCTTCCTCTTTGATACTATATGCAGAACCAAAACTAAGTGAGTGGAGTTGAAATGGAGTTGATTTTCTTGATGTAAAAAGAAAATCGGTGCTTTTGCACCCACATGCTGAGGCACAGGAGGCATAGCTGCGGCTCTCGTTGGGGCGTGGTGTGCGGCAGAGCACCTCACGGGACGAGGCCTTCCGTAAGTGTCTGTTGAGTGAGCAAGGAACAGTTGGCATCTGGGGACACCGCACTGCTGGTCAGAAAACCTGATGCCACTATTGGTTCTCCTCCTAGGGGGAAAAAATTATCCTGTCCTGAACTATATAGCATCCTGCTGTTTACTGATAAAACTGGATTTTGACATGAGTTTTAACTTGCAAGGAAGGGAAATTCCAGATTTTTAAAGAAATGGATCGCCAGCCCCTGATTAGACACGTCCCTCTTAAATGACGTGTCTAGTGTAAGACTGAATTAAAATCATTCAAAAAGTAGAGTGGGAATTAGATCGTGGGGTTATGTGGTTTCCTCCCTGTCCTGCCAAATTCAAGTTTATACATGAATCATAATCTATATAATATGTATAATGTAAAAAATAAGATCTGTTAAGTATATTGAAAATAATGTTTCTTTTTTTTAGCAGAATATGATAATAAAAATAAGACTTTTGTGGAAGTGTTACTTTTACTCAAAGTATTCTCCTCTTGTACCTGCTGTCTTTGTGAGTGAGGTCCTTGGTGAACTACTAGTATGTTATTACAGTGTCTTAGTGTATGTTTCCTACTGGCTCAGGATAAATATTTGGTAAAGTCACAGCTAACCTGAACTTTCAGTTTCCTAGACATCATTATTAGGCAGAAATAACAGCAGCAAACTTGATGTCATAGTAGTATTTTTCAAATGGCTGTCTTCATAGTGTCACCTGGTTCCTGCTTACTCTTCTGAGGACTCCCCCTCTCTTCCCTCCATCTCCCCCCTCAGCTTTGAGACAAAGTGGTTGTCTGGGAGGCCTGAGGCACTATCCATTTCTAGCTCACGAAAGCTGGTGCCAGTGATCTTTGGTAAGGTAGCAGCATAGGGCATATAACTCAGAGATTTGAGTCAAAGGGTTTTTGAAAGTTGTTATAAATAGCACATTAATTTAGCCAAAGCTTTCTATTTCTTAAGGCTTCCTGCTTGCAGAGTCCTTTCTCTTTCTCCATCAGGGTACTTTTCTGTGAGGCAGTGATTTACATAATGGTAGAATTAAGTTGATTATTATAAAAACCTAACTGCAATCACAGTTTGAATTAAAAAGCCCCTTAAAACCTGTCACCTGGAACAGCAATCCCATTTAGCATGGAGAAGGTTGAAAGTCTTTTGGTTGAGTCTTTTGGTTTTCTGGTCCACTGGTCTGGGCAGAGTCTCGACTCTGTATGTTCAGGGCTTCCAGGCCAAATTCAGAGACATTTTTATGGAGTATTCACCCTTCAAAATATAGGTACTGTGGTTTAAATAATGCCTCACAGAAAATCTGAACTTTAGCACAAAGATCTTATTGACTATAGAAAATCTGGAAAATAAAATACAAAGAAGAAAATTAAAATTACTGATTATCCTAAAATTCAGAGGTGACAATTATTAATATTCTGGTATAATTGCTTCCAGATTTGCCTTACTAGTATATGTATATATACATATGTGGGCCATTCTCCCTATGGTTTTGTACATATTTTTATACTTCCTAGTATAAGAATTTTACCTTTTTAAAAATTTATTCACATGTGAGGGTTGGGCATGGTGGCTCACATCTTAAATTCCAGTACTTTTGGATGCCGAGGCAGGATGATCTCTTGAGGTCAAGAGTTCAAGATCAGCGCAAGCAACGTAGCAAGACCCTGTCTCAACAAAAAATGGAAAAAATAGCTGGGCATGGTGGCTTGTAGCCTATATCTATAGTCACAGCTACTCAGGAGGCTGAGGCAGAAGGATCACTTGAGCCCAGAAGTTTGAGGTTGCGGTGAGCTATGATCACACCCCTGTCCTCATGCCCAGGCAACAAAATGAGACCCTGTCTCAAAAAAAGAAAAGAAAATTATTTGTATGCACCTGCTTGGTATTTGATAGGTTTTCTTTTTACATGTTTTAATTTGTTTTCTTGCTATTGTAGATGCAATCTTTTCCTTCTACTGTATCTTCTAACTGATTTTTGCTAGAAGCAGGGAAAGCTCTGGAATTTCACGTGCTTTTCTCAGATCTGACCATTTTGCCAAATTCTTGTATTCCAGCCAAGAGTTCTTAATTTCGGCTCGGCACCTGTGGCTCAAGCGGCTAAGGCGCCAGCCACATATACCTAAGGTGGCGGATTCGAATCCCCAGCCTGGGCCCACCAAACAACAATGATGGCTGCAACCAAAAAAAAAATGGCCAGGCATTGTGGCCGGCGCCTGTGGTCCCAGCTACTTGGGAGGCTGAGGCAGGAGATTCGCTTGAGCCCAGGAGTTAGAGGTTGCTGTGAGCGCGATGCCATGGCACTCTACCCAGGGGGATAGCTTGAGGCTCTGTCTCAAAAAAAAAAAAGAGTTCTTAATTTCACTCTCATAAATTTTTATAGGTATATAATTATACCATTTGCAATTAAAAATAATTTATTCCCACTTCTGTTATTTATATCTTGTAGATAGTGTTTGTCAGAACTCCTAGAAGAGTATTAAGTGATATAGCAACATAAGGCATCTTTGATTGGTTTTGATTATATTGAGAACACCACTACTGTTTCATCACTTGTGTCTTAGAGCTTGGTTTTATGAACATGGGTTTATTATTGGGTACTGAATTTTTAAAAATTTATTATCAAATGGGCGATTTTCACTGAATGCCTTGTGAACCAAGACTGTTGCTTATTAATTAATTAATTCATTCAACAACCTATGCTTACTTTAAAATCCAGGCAAGAGAGGACAGTGGCTAAATTTCAGTGGGTTAGGGTAGCATCCTTCAAAGCTCTGCTGGATTCTAGATGTATCCACCAAAGTTTCCCAGATGGGGAGATAGGAGAGAGAGCAGTCCTAGTGGCTTGATGATGTTTGGCCTGAGAAGCAGGAAGGATGGAGCTGCCATCATGCAAGGTAGGGAAGGTTATAGATAACAGGCTTGGGAAGAAGAGCAGGAGTCCCATTTTGAACCTACTGAATTTGAGATGTGTTTTAGACATCTGAGTGGAGATACCAAATAAGAAGGGGGCTTTGAGTGTGCTCCACACCAGGGTCTTAGCAGAATACACAAATTGAGACTCCGTTGGCACTTCCTGGTATTCAAAGCTATAAGACTACACAAAATCACTGGGAAGATGAATATAAATGAGAAAAGAGGGAAAACCAGCAAAGAAGGCTCAGAAGGATCAGCTGATGAGGTAGAAAGAACACCGGTTATGTTACCCTGGATGCCAAGTAAAAGTCATACGTTAAGGAAGTGTCCCATAATGCTGGTCTGTCAAACAGCACAAGGACTGAGCATTGACAGCTGAGTTTGAGACTGTAGGAGGTCATTGGGAGGAGCGTTTCAGTGGATAGGGAGCTTCAACTCAGCAGTTCCCCTCTTAGGTCTGAATATCCTAGAGATACAATAAACATGTAATTCTGTGCAGCACTTACATAAAAGGCAAAAAAAAAAAGAGAGAGAGAGAGAGAGAGAGAGAGAACGCAGAAATCCATTAATAAGAAAATAAACAGGTAGGTCATGGTGGCTCATACCTGTAATCCAAGCACTTTGGGAGGCTGAGACAGGAGGGCCCCTTGGGGGGGGTGCTCCGAGAGGGCACACGGCAACGGTTTGGGGACGTGGGTGGGGGAGAGAGGATGAGAGGATGTGCCGAGAGTTATTTGGGAGTAGCTGCAGAAGGGGAGGTAAGGGGCATAATGAGAACTGGTGCAGTGGCTGTGGGAAGCGGGGAGGGTTGGGTGTCCACGTCTGCCCCTCACCCTAGTGAAGAGGGTAGAGGCCTAAGGGAGGTGGGGTGGCCCCAGTACACTGCCTGCTTTAGTCTGACCCTTCTTAGGGGACGGCCTCTCTGGCCTGCACTGTGTGCTTGGTCTGATACTTGCTAATGGACTTGAGGACTTACGGGGAGACTGGGTGTTACCTCAGACTCTGGGCTTCACCTTTCCCCATCAGGTCTGCATTTCAGAACGAGCACTCTGGCTGCAGGTGGGACACCCCCAGGTGTGAGGACAGAGCAGACATCAGGAGGTGTGATCCGGAGG